ATCATCAGTTCCTCCCCAGCTCCTTGCCACCAGCATAGAGATACGATGTTATAGTATCCATATTTGGACAAAACTCTCCCTTCACCCTCCTTATTTCCTTCCAGCCAAAGCCCCATTTCTCAGCTTCCCTTTGCATTAAAACGTTCTAAAAAGTTGCCAGTGGTCGTTCTCTCTGGTTCATCGGCTCCTATTTGCAGCCCCACCCCTGCCATTCAGCTTCCATCCTCATTCTTCCACTAAGACTGCTCTGTCAAGGCTGCCCCGAGGTCCTTGCTGCCACGTCTAGTGGACACGTCTCTGTCCTCAGCTTACGCGACCTTTCCGCAGCATTCCACGCGGGCAGCTCCCCTCCTAGGTCTTGAAGCACTGTCTTCCCCTGGCTTCCTGACAGCTCTCTCACCTGGGCTCCCCCTTCCTCCCTGACCAATCCTGCTCAGCCTACTGTACCCTCTCCTCCTCTCTGCCCAGCTCCTGAGATAGGAGTGTCCCCAGGCTCTGTCCTCCCGCTTTTCCAGTCTGAGCTGGAAACCAGCCTAGGTCACACAGTCTCTGTGGGTCCAGCTGGTCCCCAAGCCTGCCCAGATTCCAGGAAGGGGAACAGCAGAGAACTTGGGACCATCCTGAACCCACCAGGTAGAAACCCGGAAGTCCTCCTCAATTCCTCCCCTCTCTCACCCATCACCTCTGACCCTCCAGCAAGTCCACAATAGGTCCCCAACAAGCCTGCTTCTCATGATCTCCACGGCCCCCAGCCTCGTTCAGGCCTCAGCATCTCTAGCCTGGGTCACACCATCGCCTCCTACCTGGGCCCCCTGATTCCACTCTTACCTTGTAGTCATCTGTTCTCTACAGAGCAGGCAGAGTGGGTTTTTGCACGCGTGAATCAGATTATTTCACTGCCACGCTGAAATCTCTTTAGTGCTCAGAAGACAATTCAAGCTCCTAACTACAACCTGAGGGTCCTGCGTGATGGGCCACGCAGCCTACCTCCCAGCCTCAAGCTGCTCCTCTGCCCCCCTCGTTCACTGTAGAGTGGCCACTCTGGGCTTCCTTCTGTGTCTCAAACAGACCGACTTGTGCCCGGCCTCTTGCTCATGCTGGCCCGGCTTCCTGGAACACCCTCTAGGAAGGGCTGCCTCCTTCTCATCCTTCAGCCTCAGCTCAAATGCCACCTCCTCTCTGAGACTCCCTTGACCATCACATCACTCCAGGTTCCCATGCCATGTGCATGGCTTCATAGCACTCAGCATCTAGCATAGAGCCTGGCACATAGTAAATGCTCAATAAATACTTGTGGAATGAATGAGAAAAATCAAACAGGAAAGCATTCCACGGCTCAGTACAACAGACTTCCACATGGCCCCAAATCTCATCTCCCACAAGCTCCAGCATGCTACGGCAGCGCCACACTTTACCACACAGCCCTGCGGGCAGTGCTTTGATAACAACAGTCCAACAGGCCCCAGGAAGCCCGACATGTCACGACAGGGCCCAACACGGACAACATCAGGCCTGGCCTGGATCTCAGACTCAGCTCCAGGTATCACTGCTCCAAGCTCTGGATGTGTCCAGCTGACCACAGGGGCCCACAAGTGACCCCCAGCCCTAGCTATGGTGTCAACTGGGACCCAAACATCTGAGCCCCCCTGCCTCAGGTGGTGGGTAGTGGGCCGCAGACCTGGGTTGAGCACAGTACAATGGGTCTTTGTCTTCCCAGGAGGCCCTGCTCAGCCTCCAGAGGAGAGTGGTCCATTCTGAGCACCCAGAGCAGCTGGGGAAGGGGGAGGTGGGGGAGAGGTGGCACTGGACTCCCGGGGAGACGAGAGGAGGCCCAGGTCTCTGTTCTGCTGTGCAGCCTTAGGCATGTCACTGCCTCTTTTTAGCTTCGCCTCCCTTTTGTAGAAAGAAAAGAGCATCAAAGGGCCTCTAGGGAGCATCTGAGTACAGATGGGAAACCAAGGCCCAGAGAGAGGCAGTGTCTGCCCAGGGTCACAAGTGAGGGAGGTCAGAGTCACTGCAGAGCCCCAGGCCACCTGCCTCCCAGGAAGCCAAAGGGCTCAGAGGGTAAGGCCTGCTGCTATCTCCTCACCTGTTGCTCTGCCCTAGGCCCTTGGACAAGAATAAAGACAGAGAATGAGTCACCAGGAAGGAGAGGGGCCATGGAAAAGGAAAGTGGGTTTCCAGCCCCTCCCCCAGAGCCCTGCCCTTTTCCTTTCCTCTTTGGCCAAGGAACCCAGTGAGTCACAAGATTCCACTGGGGCGGGCTCAGTGCCAAGCTCAGTAATGACGAGGGACCTCGGAGCCATGCTTTTGGCTCTGCTCTCTTTCCC